TTTTTGAAAACAGTACCGTATTTAGAAGAAACTTTACTGTGCAAGCTAATTAAGGTCTTTCTCTCCAATCTTTTTATCTCTTCAGGTTTTAAAGTTCAACCTCACCGAATCAGGACTACTCTGTGTATTGCCATGGCTGACCATGGCCGTATTTGCAAATGTAGGTGGTTGGATTGCCGATACACTTGTGAGCAAAGGATTCTCCATAACATCAGTTCGTAAGGCAAGGGCTTCATAGAACTCTTGTATAAAGTTTTATACTTGTTATAGCGTTATAGTTTAATCATCTAATGATGAGCTTTACTTGAATTTATTTCGTTTCTAATATATAACTACCTAAGTAAATTTGCAGATTATGCAATCTATTGGTTTTCTGGGCCCTGCTTTTTTTCTTTCACAATTAAGCCATGTGAGGACTCCTGCATTAGCAGTGCTATGCATGGCATGCAGTCAGGTTGGTGCCATAGGATAATGGAATGACATACTTTTGGGAGATTTTTGAAGTTTGTTGATTAAATATTTTGATTTTTTGGAAGGGATCGGATGCATTCTCTCAGTCTGGCCTCTACTCTAATCACCAAGACATTGGACCACGTTACGCTGTAAGCACCTCTACTGCATATAAAAGCTTTATATGTTGATTGACATGTCTAGAATTGTTTGTCCTACTTTTTTCCCGGTTAGTAGGTAACTGCGGTCCCAGGATGCAACTCTTGGACTTTATCTTGTCCCCGTTAGGGAATTTCTTGTCTGGACACTGTTAACTATATTTATATGAATTACTAATCATGAAAGAAATTTTACATCGTGTTAGCTTGTTGGTTGATGGCTGTAAATCTCTGCTACCGCTTGTCTCGACCAATTATTTATTGCACAGAACAGTTGGACATTTCATAGCTTGTTTTTGAAATTTAGATGTTTGAAAAATTTGTATACATCTCCTCCCGCAGGGAGTGTTGTTGGGATTATCTAATACTGCTGGAGTGCTAGCTGGTGTCTTCGGTACAGCTGCAACTGGATACATACTACAAAAAGGTATTTATGTTATATATTTTCTTATCAGCTTGGTTGTTCTGAATGAGAATGTTGGTTTTGAGTTTATTCATGACATTCCTGTATTTTCCTTCTGCAGGATCTTGGGATGATGTATTTAAGGTGGCTGTTATATTATACATCATAGGTACATTAGTCTGGAATTTCTTCTCAACTGGAGAGAGAATCCTCGAGTAGATAATAAAGGCTGCACCAAGGAAGCCTAGTGTAACTTAAGAAATCAGAAAAAGTGCAAATCCATCGGATACCTGGAAACGAATTTTACTACAAGCATAATTTCCAGTTATGAGAACAAGGTGCTAATGCCCCCAGGCTTATACCTAGAAGTCCCCTGCAATGAGGTCCTAAAACAATTTTCGGAAAGTTTCTCCTTAAAGGTGCTCTTTACTTGCATAAAACATTGAACCATGCTTAGCAGAAAGCTATCTGGGTAATTTGACCTGTAAATTTACTGGCATGGATTTTCCATAGAACACCTGATATGAAGTCTGGACATTTTTTTAGCGTAGTATTTTCCTTCAACCTTGATACTGTTTGCTAGTCTTGTTGTATGGACGCGTTATTATGGTTCCATTATACATGTTTAATACTTCTCAGGATACTGATCTGACACTTAGCGATGAACTCTAAAATTTTTACGAAACTTAGATATAATAAAGTACCAAATGTAATACCTAGATTTGGTTTTGGTCTGGCCAAATTCTATGCACTCAGCTTAAATTTCACAGAGATAAGAGAACAGAGCTGGCTTAAGAAACGCCCTTCAGTGCTACGTGTGATGTGGATTCTTTCATATGAATATTAGATCCCCTTGCCTCATCAATCAAATACTCCTGTAGACAATAAATTTGCGTCGAGAAAATAAAATCAAGACCGAAAATATCGCAACAATCGTAGTATTTTATTTCGAGTATTTGAGTGTTACAATCTCTATGAATCCTCTGATTCTTCTTTTCAACAGTAAATAAATTCAAGGGCCTTTGAGCTTGATCTTGAATATGTAGTTGTTTCCACGAACGATGATCTTGTTCTTGAGCTTTAGCTTGATTGCTTGAACTTGACCTTGATTTGTTGTTCGTTCTTGAGCTTGAACTTGATTTCTTGAACTTGAACTTGATTGCTTGAAGCTTGAAACTTGTAGAGAAATTTGCAGCGTTTGATCCACGAGCTCTCTCTCTTGCTTCTTGTTATAACTTCTGGTCCTTTTCTGAGTTATGAAGACCCCTATTTATAGTTGTGGGAGGGAAGAGTTATGATAAGAACAAACTCTTTTCGACCAATCAAATTGAAATGTGACATGGCCGCATTTGATTGGCCAGAACATGTCACTTGCACACGTGGCGCGATTTAATTGGCCTTTCAGTGTGACTGGGCATGCCTTGTCATTTTGACATGTGGCATGGTCCTATTGGCTCTTCCGCTTGACTTGGCGCGCCACGTCATTTGACACGTGGCACCAAACTGGGCCTCTAGGAAGATGACATCTTGGGCTTAATGAAGTGGGCCATCACTTTAGCCCAATTAAACGGGCTAGCCCAATGGATTAAGACTTATTTATTTAATCCATACATATTGAACTTATATAATTAATTCAATTATATTAGCGCCTATATTTATTTGGACTAGTATATTTAAAATATAATCCAAATTATTTATTGGATTTAAATCCAATAAATTTTACATGCTTACAACTCCAACTGAGTATTTAAAGAGAGACGTTTAGTTTCTGGTCTGAACACCAGGATATGCATCAGCAGACAGGATTTTGCAAAGTCCTGGAAAAGAAATAGAGTTGAAATTACAAAGAACAACAGAAGATGAGGCTATAAAACCATGATATTGGAATATAATAAAAAGCTAAGGGCCCGTTTCCGAAAAACAAAACATGAAGAATTAACCCAAATCACTGCTCACCTAATTTCTTAAAGAGAAATTTTCATAAAGCACTATCTTTTAGTAGTAATTAGCTATCTATAGATATCATTTTGCTATATTACGGATTATAGATACCTTTTCTGTGGTTATAAGATGTATTTGATGTATTTAAGCTATTGTATTCATGAATACAGTAGCAAAAATAGGCGTGAATCAGGGAAGTCCAGCTAATCAGTTGTTGTATTCGAGTGTATTCGACTGTATTCATGGCGTGAAACATGGGATTACAGCTGGACAGATTATTGTATTCGACAGTATTCACGGCGTAAAACAGGGGATTACACTGTTTTTAAACGGAAAGTGAATCAATTAACATAATAGACTCCTAATATAACTCAACAAACTCAATTATAACACACAAAATTTGTATTTCCAGTTATAAAAAAGATTCTAAACCGAAAAATACCCCAAAAACATAGCAATCTTCAGAGAAATTATATAATACATCTGAATACATAAATTATATTAATTAAAAAAATATATGAATACATTCATGACATATAGCAAAACAGTGAATACAATGAAAATACATAGAATACAGCGGGATACATTAAAATACAATGAAAAAAAAGACAGTGAATACAATGAAATACATAAAATACAGCGAGATACATTGAATTACAATGACAAAAAACACAATAAATACATGAAAATACATTGAAATATATTAACAGAAAATCAAGTTGCTCAGCCCCAAACTCCGTCGTCTTTGTTCAAGAACAAACCCTAATTTCCGGCGAATCCGCCGTCGAGCAAAAACCCTGAACCACTGGGGCTGCAACTCTAACAATAACGTTCCTTTTCACCTTCTTCTTTTCCCTTTTAATTAGCCTCTTCTTTATTCCCCAGTTCATTGGCGACATAATAAATAACTCTATGAAGGAAATTTCCTCCACCAGCCATGAGATTGCACCAACTATCAACAATTAAGAAACAACAACAATAACAACAACAACAGCCCAGTAGAATCCCACAAGTGGGGTCTGGGGAGGATAGTCAACAATTAAGAAAGTGAAGCAATAAATAAACAACTACAGTTTTTTATTAAGAAATATCGAAAAGGTGAGCAAACGGAACGGACGAGATTGATGAAACCCTAACTTCCTCATTGCTTAAACCAAGTGGGTCGTAGTCTCCTTTTCCTGCTCTTGATTTTCCTATTGCAAAATTAGCACCAGCACCCCAATTGATTTTAATAGCTTCAGGGAATGGGGGAAAGAGAATGGCATGTATCAAAGTAGAGAGAGAAAGAAAATAGAATAGCGTATTTAGTGGCTTAGGGATAAGATGTAACCTAAATTAGATATTTTGCTATAAACATTAAAAGGTATCTATAGAATATAATTTTTTTAAATGGTATTTATTTAAAATAAATAAGGTGTTAACCTTTGCTACAGGAGGTAAAAATTCCTTTCTAGACTAAAAATAGCCAGTGGATGTGTAACACATGTAAAATTCATGTATAATATATACATGTAACTGTATATAATCAATGTATAATCTATATATATCGGCTAAAAAAAGTAAATAGTGAATCTGACCGACTATTTCTGTAACAACCCCTTGAAACATCGCCTAGACTTTAAAATCTTGCGTTTTCTTGGAAATCGATTCCAGGTAATATGAGACTTGCCATTTCAACGAATTTCACCTTCAAATGAGAGAAAGATTTGTGACAGCTAGAGTTCAACTCCTAGTTGCAAATGTCACTAATTCTGGAAAAAGGAAATTGAATTAAGCAATTCAGTTAGGTTAGTTAACAATTTGATTGTAACCGATCTTCCAAAACTAATCTCAACCTAAGAAAGGGCTTTACAGAAAAGCTTTAGGTCCCATTTATGCTTGATCAATGGTCCAGCTTTCTAATTTTGCTATTGAGCATTAAGCATTTAAAATGAATTGTGGGACAGGAGGTCAGAAACAAAGAAACAAAACAAACACCATTAGTTATTCAAAAATAATAACAAGATACAAAAGAATTAACATACCAGACAAAAGTGAGACTGTGAAAAAATCTAGAAATACAAAAGAATTAACATACCAGACAAAAGTGAGACTGTGAAAAGATCTAGAAATACAAAAGAATTAACATACCAGACAAAAGTGAGACTGTGAAAAAAAGTAGAAATACAAAAGAATTCTATGGGGAATAACAAAACAACGTAAAAGGAACAAATAAAGGGGTCAGCTTTACTATAGAATAATTAAAAGAAGAAAAGTAGTGCAGCTAGTACTTGTACAACTTATTACTACTAAATTATTGAGTAATCTCCCTCCTCTTCAACCTCAAAATCATTCCTGTTGTACCATCTACCACCCAAAAAAAAGTTTTTCCCACAATGAATGAGATGTACCTTAAAAATCATGAATATACCACCATTTCTCCTTTATGACAAAAGCTGCCATAATTGAGCATTCATGTGAGAATTATAACCACCATAAGCAAATATAATTGAACTATAGCTTCCTTGCAATCAATATTTGCCGACACCATTCTTTAAACCACCTCAACCACCCTCCTACCCCTCTCCCCATTATGAACATTCATGTTTGTCCCCATGCAAATTTTGGACTAATTGGACCTCTCTTTCCTTCTTTACACTAGCCACTAATGGTGTGAGATCTCGTGGACGAAGATTAACTTTAAGGCCGTCTTTCATGAACAAAGTCAACGACATTTTTTGCTCCACCTTATGGCCGGGAGCCACCGTTAGCCGGTGGCGGAGCAACACTGCTGCCGCCACCGACTTCATTTGTAAGTATGCCAAGTCCTTCCCGAGACATATCCTTGGACCAGCATTAAAAGCCACAAACTTGTATTGTTCATGCATTACGAACTTCTTACCATCTGGGGTTAGCCACCTTTCTGGCTTGAATTCTAAGCAATCCTCGCCCCATGTAGTTTTCATTCTTCCAGCTGAATATATAGAATATGTTATTGATGAACCTGCCGGAACAAATGTTCCGTCCGGCAGCACGTCGTCGACCACCACATGCTTTGAGTCCTCCGGCACCGACGGATAAAGCCGGAGAGTTTCAGATAATGCAGCTTTCAAGTAGGTTAATTGATCAACTTCCTCGAAAGCTAACGGCTCGTCGAGCCATGATGACGTGTCACTGCCACGTGTCTCAATCAAGACCGTGCATATTTCGTGTAAGATCTTTTGTTCAACTACTGGATTTTGTATGACCAACCAGAAAAACCAACTCAATGCGACCGATGACGTGTCACGTCCAGCTAGGATGAAATTGAGTGCCACGTGTTGCAAGAACTTGTCCGTGTAGGATTCCTTCTTCTTCATGAACCTTGATAACAAGTCATCATGAGGGTTTCCATCTTTTTGCTGACTCATCAACTCAAGCTTACGTGTATTGATGATGTCAGACATATATTTGTCCAGCTGTACAAGGCTTCGGTTCAAGCTGACTTCCATTCCTAGCCCAAGCCATTTCTTCAGCTTCCATATAACTTCTGGCAATATGAACCGCTGCAGCGACGCCTCCGTGGCTCGGTCAAAAGCCGAAGCGAAGGTATTCTCCGGCAAGCCGGGTGCCAATGTTTGCGGGTCCTTGCCAAAAGCCAAGCCGCAAATGTTGTCAAAAGTGAGCCTAAGTAAAAGATCTTGTAAATCAACCGGCTTGTTTTCAAGCTGAGCCATCTTAAGAATTGGACAGAACCTAAGCTGAATGGCTCGGTTGACCCATCGAGCCATGGCTTGGCGTAGGGTCCGAGTCGTGAACTCAAGTGCTGCCGTCTTCCTTTGAAACAGCCACGTGTCACCATCAGAGTTAAAAATCCCTTGGCCAAGCAGCTCGTGGAAAACGGCTTGCCAAGTCGGACCCTTCGGGTAGTTCTCGAATCGGGTCTTCAAAATATGCTCCAAGTTCTTCGGGTCGCACGTGACAGTCACGAGACCTTGCTTCCGGGCCAAGAATGGGATAGCACATATGCATGTCTGGTACGTGCCACCACACGCGCGGAGGTTGTCCACAATCCAATCATGCATACGCTCCGAGTTCTCGATCAAGCCCGGTAAGCTGCCCAATAAGGGCCAGACACGTGGACCCTTGAGAGATCTTGAGATGAAAGTGAACCATAGAAGATAACAAGTTATGGCAGTAAACAAAAGCAAAGCTATGGCAATGTCCATGTTTTGAGAGAATGAAGAATATAACTTAAGAAGAAGAAAAATGGCCAGTAGTACTACTCAGTGGAGTAGACAGTACTATGAGATGTAACAAAAGAAAAGGAGAATAAAAGGGAATTTATAGGGGAGGAAAATAATAGTAGTTGAAGTAGAATTGAGGAGCAATAACTAAGAGCCAGACTGTTTCTTGGATTTCACCATCTAATTTTTTTTCTTTCTGGCAAACACAATAAATGCATATAAAAAAAACAATATTTAAGATTTGTAGCAAAAGGACATCAAGTAAAACCACTATAGCCTAAACTTAACAGTGGGCAATAAAAAGGAAAAATACAAATAGAGGATGGTGGGGGGTGGGGGGGTAGGGGGTTGGGATGAAAAGCTCCCCAACTAATTCTGCAGAGAAAAGGAGCTGCTCTTTAAATTCAAGCATTGAATGAAGGAAGCTAAAGGGTGGTGAAATGAAGTAAATGAGATTAGTTGAGAAAGTAGTAGTGCAGAAAGAGAAAAACAGATAAAAGGGAAGTGAGAAAGGATTGGAAAGTTTGTACTTATGGAGAAGTATTATGTGCTTTTGTTTTGTTTTTTGGTTGCAAAAATTTGGTTAAGAATTAGTATAACAACCCATAAATGGAACATGGGGATGTGATCATGCAGCTAGTTAAGGGTTCGGTGAACGAACTGCCACCAACAAATTTATGGCTAAGTACTTCACGTTACGTGACTCTATCAACCTTTTTTATTGCCTTCCTTTTTTTTTATGTTTATCCCTTTTACCAGTAGAATTAATATTTTGATAATGAGTTTAACTTCTATATACTTGCAACAATAACAATGACCCAGTAAAATTTCATAAGTGGGGTCTGGGGAGGGTAAAGTGTACGCAGACCTTACCTCTACCCCGAAATTGTTTCTGATAGACCCTCGGCTCAAAAAGAACTTCTATATATACTTGCATTATCACATTTACTCAAAGATATTTATAAGTGCAACTATTCATAAAAAGTGGGATACAACAACAACAACAACCCAGTAAAGTCTCATCAGTGAGGTCTGGTGGAAAGTAGAGTGTACTACCCCTACCCCGGAGGGGCTACTCGCAAACTATCAATGTATATAAATTAAACCGTAGATAATTAATATTGAAAATATAGTAAGTTTAAGTTTTGTGCTTAACTAAAAAAAATTTACACTATCAGATTAAGATGAGCTACAACAACATGTGGCTATTTATATGGGCAAAGATTACTTTTAGCCCGCGGCCAAAATTATTTATATTCATTAGCCGCAAAAGTATATAAAATTATATATTTCCTGTATATAACATTCATAAATATATATATNCACATGTCCGATGTGCTATACACTGTGATACAAATAATACAATATTTTTATTGTGATATACATTGATATAAAGGCAGAAATATATATATATATATATATATATATACAAAGAATATTCATTCTTTCAGCTATTATTTTGAAAGCGGCTATACAATATCAATTTTCCTACTTATACTTATCCTAATTTGGCAAATTAAAAATACTTGCGACCGGTTAACATACACGGAAGGAGTAAAAAATTTAACACTGTCAGTAACTATAATAAATGAAAATAAAATTTATTATAATGGCAGGAGTTGACTTTGACTCTCTTGAATGTAGGATGATACAGAGGGGCAAAAGTCAACTACCATATATAGACAGCCATGGTTTTCTGGAATGAAAACAAAAGTCTAAGTAAACAGGTTTTTCGAACAGTACAAAATTACGAAACCTTAGCCGATTGATTGGGAAATCGAGCCTTTCTCTTACAAATGCAATAAGCCAAGATAGATCTACAGGCATCAAATGCTACTTCAGGTCAACGCCCAATTTCTTCTTTTAAACCTTTTTTTTTTAATGACAAACAATTGAGTAGCATATCTTAATTTGGATAAATCACACCACCAAATTCCTTACTAGTTTTTCAGCAAAATTTTCTAAGATTGGTGCAACTGTCTACTAATAATTTAGGTGATAAACTAAATATCCTTGAGAACCTTCTAATGCTAATAGAGACTACATAAACTAAATATCCTTGAGAACCTTCTAATGCTAATAGACTATAAAGAAATATTAAGTACATTCTTATACATACAGAAGCACACACTTAGCTTAGCTAGAGACGGATCCAAATTTAAGCTATATGGTTTCAACCTTTAAGGTTTTTAATATTCAACTCATGCAATTTTTTTAAATTTTGGGTTCACACTTCAAACCTACTATTTGTTGTAATTTGATACATTTTTACACATAAATTTAGTAGGGATTCAGATGAACCCGGCAACACAGCCCCTACACTTTGCAGCAGTCTATGTTACAGGTATATATGAGTAATCGTACAAATACGTGAAAAAAATTCCTAATTTTTTAATGTATGTAAAGAACCTGAGAAATTCTTAATGTAGTTTTTTGGTACATTGAGAAAAGAACTGATCAATGTAACTTAGGCTATAGTTCCTTTACCAATCAGGAAACGTCAACAAGAAACAAATCCAATTATACAAAGGTTAGCACTTTGTTTACTCCGTCAAAAATCTTACTGTTACTACTACTAAAATTTCATTTGCCATGAGAAGAGGAACTGCCATATCTTAAGACAAGCCGAGTGAATTGACAGAATTGAGTCTTCTTGTCACTTATCGCCAGGGACAATTAGAAATAATACTTCTCCCTCGTACATAGGTCTCTAATGCTGGTACTTAATAATAATGAAGTAATACATGCACAAACTATCTTTTGTTTACGATAAATAAAAGAGTTTAGACAAAAAGGGAGAACCCTAATATGCAAGCTACAGAGCGAGCACTATAGAGAAAGCAATTTGCATCAAGAAAGCCCATCCAATCATCTACACAAACGGAATTTGCTACGTGATACAAAATATATATAAGGGAAAACAAAAAAAGGTTCTTGATCTGAGTCATTGAGTTTTCCTGTCCCTCAAAGGACCTCCTAGCATTCCTTCCGAATTAGGACTACTTATGCAGCATGATCACACTCTCCCCTGATCTATTCTGCGAGTTTCTCTTAAACTTCTAGCTTTTCTTAAGACACCACAAACTATCCTCGGTATCACCCAGGAAATGCCAGAGGGAACAGCATATAGTGTGTAATAAGAAAGTATCAAGAAATACCGAGTCCCATGGAACCGTCCCCACAATGAAAAAAAGTGAAAACATCCCCTTTTCTTAGGAACTCTTTTTAGTCCATAGAGCAGCATGAGAGAAACCTTATATTCCAAAATCAACAGTGTATTTTTAAGATTCACATTGAACAAACCAGAGAAAGTAGTACCTAGCAATTTCCAGACGTCCTTGCACCTTCTTGATGTCAACAGTGTAGTCAAGAGTTGTGCGCACCTCAACTATTCTTCTAGAGAAGTATTCAAAAATGGAAATATCGGGTTGCCATCAAGGGGGTTAGTTTGGAAGACCACAAAAGTACCTTCCGGCAAAATATCCGTGCTTCATGATTCTATAGCACCAGTTACAGCAGGTGTAAGTGATCATGTTTAGGAAATAAAAAGATTTCAAAGAGAATCGAACTCGAATCATTTAATGCTGGTAAAGTAATGGACTAGCTAGATTCTTATACAGGAAAACTCACAGAAAGCAAATAATCACTTGCTTATTGTCATATGTTCAATGTTAGTCAATTATTTCGATGGATTAAAATATTTAATTGTCCTTCATGGAGTCCACCCAATCAACTTCCACTTAGCCTCTCGCCACTCAGTATACAAAAAAGCGTGATAGACATAACTAGAATCTTAGTCGTACATTCACCCTGCCACAAGGGTTTGTTAGGTGACATCACCTTGTTGGCTGCATCATATTGCTCTTGCTTGACATGCAAAATCATATTAACATGAGTGGCTTCATTACACGAATGGAACATCCTGTATATCATCCTCTGTATAAATACTTTGACAGGGGAAATTTTAGACTCTTTGCGACCTGCAGAATTTGAGAAACAAAATAAACCACAATGGGAAAGGAAGAACAGCTTCTGAAAGTATGGCCATTTTTACTTAAACAATTATGGAAACAGATTTTGAAAGGTTACCTTAAGAGCCATATCTTCGGAAACCATAGATCGATACCGATTAGCGCCTTCCAAGGGGCAACTTCCTCCTTTGCTGATAAAATTAGCATTACACAGACTTGATAATTCCAAAAGAACATCAGACAATAGTCCGTTAGTCCAACTCTCTCCTTCCAATCCACCATCTTCTTGTGCTTCTTCATCAGGTAAGCATTCTTCAACTGATACAATACACTGAAATATGGCTAATAATCTTTCCAAGGGGAACGTTCCTGGTCCCTTCAAGAGCAATTCCTGTTCTGCAGTTTCTTTTTTCTCCATCGACTTCTCCGAGCTCCTGAAAACAGAGATCATATCTTTAGACGTGTAAGGGCAAATGAAGTCAGATAATCAAAGGCAACTAAAATATGATTCACAACAGATAAGTTAGTATCACTTTAACTTTAAAAGGGATTGAGCTCAACATGTACCAGGCAGGTAAAATAAAAGTTTTATACAAATTCTTAATGGCTATTAATGATGTATAAGAAGTAGCAACACTTCAAATGCCAATAAAGATTCGCTAACAAACCAATCATCGGACAACATCGCCACTTCTTCAAGACTTATAATTCCTTAAGAGCTCTCATGAATGAGGGAATAGGACGTTAAAGCTTCAAAATATTAGGAAAACATTTCCTACTAATTGGCTTCAATGATAAACAGGATGATAAAGAAGCAAATTCTCATTTTCACTTCTGATTATTCCAGTGATACCTATGTCAAGTAGCCCAATTTATCTTACCCAAGTATTTCAGTAATAACTAGCTCCAGTATTCCAACTATCACCCAACAAAAACTTACGATATTTGTTCTGTGCTTTATTTAAGAAAATATGAAGGTACGCCCAGAGCACTCATGTAAATGCAAAGAAAGCCATCAACTCAAGCAATTTGTCTACCAAATAAAGGGAAGTAGAATAAACAGCAATATCAGAAGAACCGATTTCAGAATTACTTACTTTCTCTTTCGTTTTCGGTTACTGGCACCACCAGTTGAATCGAACAACGATGCATCAAGGGTAGCTGGGTTTCTTGAAGCAAGGAAAGCACAAATGAGAAGGTATTTGGCACAAGCAGACATATGAAAGTCTATCTCATCAGAAGATTCACAAACTCCATTTTTCTTGGCAATGCCTTTCCATTTGTTCTTATTAGCTAAGGCTTCAGAAGACAGCCTGCTTCCAACTTTGAACGTGTCATTCAGGGATGGCCCAATATGTGGTTGAAGATGAGTAAATAGTTTTCTTTTCATATCTTCATTTGGAACAGTGCCTAAATCATCCAGAGGTTCACAATATATCTGATATAATGATGAGAAGGGAGTCAATAGTTCATCAACTCGTCTAGTAACTCGACAAAATGGCCTCAACACCACACTGTATTAAAATAAGTAAAGAATGTGTGTCAAGTGGAATTCGCAATAAAGCCACCAAAATGATGAAAATTAAATTGAAAATTTCAGACTTACTCAAGAAATGAGGAATATAGCTTTGGGCTTCCCTGGTCTTTCATTAAGATTTGACGAAGTTCATCCTCGGTGTAATCAGGAAAATAAACAGGAATAGGTTCTACATAACCAGTGTCCGAGACATAAGTGTCAGGTGAGGCATTACTGAGAAAAATCAAACCCACTTCAGGCATTTTCAGTATATCATAGAGCTTAAAAAGAAGCGGTAATATATTGGAACTCTTGTCCCATTCGCGAGCAAGCTCCAAGTTATCAAACACCAAGTAAACCATCTTCCCTCTAGCCCATCCAACTGACTTCTTTGAGGTTGATTTCGCCATGCTCCCCTTCAAACTATCTACCACACTACGAAGAGCACCCTGCAAAAGATTTACAAAATCGGAGGGCTTTTCGCAGCGGTTAGCACTCGAATAGCCATTGCTTTCATTCCTTCTATGAAGCGATAACTGGTTCAACACAGATTCAAATAGTATCCTTGGGCTATAACATGTTATACAACTACAGTAAACAAACGGACGCTTTAGGTGCTTAAATATCTGAAGAATTGTACTTGTTTTCCCAGTTGAAGCACCCCCATATACAAACAATGGTAACATTGGAGAATCCAAGGGGCCCAAAAGGCGCAACAATTCGATAATTTGTGCGCTCCTGCCTGGTAAACTAGAAATCAAGTCATCTAAACTAATTGATGATTCGTCTCGATAAGCAAGGTAACGTATTGTTAAAGGTTGTTGATTACATGATTTTGACTTGTCTGTCGAAATTTTAGGACTCGGTGTGCTACACAATGATGATCTAGTGGCTCTTCTCGGAGTTTGTGGATTTCCCTCTTCACCCATTTCTTACAATGTGCTCAAAATCCTGGAAAATTCAAAAATAGCAGTATAAATCATTCAATCACAGTGCCACCAAAACCCTAACATTATCAAATATAGATATTTTAGAAACTGAAACAACTATATTGCATATGAATCCCACATAAATTGAATAATGAAAACTGAAGTAAGTAAACAAAGTGAATGCATTTCAGGACGAACCTTGGTTCAGCAGTAAAGTAACAGGCCGGAATTAGCGGGTAGTCGAAGAAACGAAATCGGCCGGAATATTGAGGTGGCCGGTGAAGGGAGAAACGGAGTTGAAGGAGAAGTTGAAGTCTTTCGCATCAGCCCTAGGTTATGACATCTAACTTTTCCCGCCAAGAAGCCCATGACTTTACAATGTTTTGGGTCAAGGTTTTGTGATAACTTTCAAATATTAAAATTTGATCTTTACGTCAAATTAATGTTACAACAGAATAGAGTTTTGAATTAATACCCTAAAATCCCCTAAACTATCAAGTTTTTATCGGTTCCCTACTTAAACTATCCGGTATCCCCAAAGCCCTCCTGAATTATATTGCCCTTCATATTAAAACACTCTCGTTACATTCTTAGAGGTGCGTCTAGTCCACGCTTCTAATTGTCTAGAAAACGTGCCATGTAGCACTACACGTGGCTATTTAACTCAGCCTAAAACCTGCCTATACTATTATTTTTTTGTCAGTTACCTACTTAAACTATCCGGTGTCCCCAAAACTCCCTTGAACTATATTGACGATCGTATTAAAACCCCCTCATTACATTCTTAGAGGTGCGTCTAGTCCACGCTCCTAATTGTCTAGAAAACGTGCCACGTAGCAGAACACGTGGCTATTTCACTCAGCCTAAAATCTGTCTATACCATCACTTTTTTGTCGGTTACCTACTTAAACTATCTGGTATCCCCAAAACTCCCCTGAACTATATTGACGCTCGTATTAAAGGGGGTTTAAGGGGGTTTTAATGTGATAATTTTTATTGTTTAGTACTCCTTAAGTGGCTGTGGCCTCTTCAGGGGGCTGATGGATTCAAACCTATAACACTGCGAATCACTTTCTGCTTTTTAATCGTGGAATAATTATATTCATGCAAGTCAAGGAACTTAACTGAATAACAAAACTATCTTCGCTATATTTGCTCGTATCATTTAGAAATTAGAATACTCTAGCAAAATTTGGATAAATTATACAATCACATAACATAAGAATTTGCACAAAATTCCCCCTCTCGGATCCAAAGTTAATTGTTGATAATCCAATAGACGAATGTTGTATTTATGTAGGAAATATTCTAGATAGCTACTGCCATTTTTTCCTCTGATTTCTTTTTCGTATTTGTTTGCTGATCCTATTAACTTAGGGGTTGTGATGTAGAGACAATAAAGTTAACATTATAAACTCAAATTCTCATATCTGTAATTAAATACAAACAGGAGCTTTTACGCCTAAAAATAGAAAAAGAACTATGCTCTTACAATTTCGAATCAGGTGATCGTTTATGAGACGCCACTTACGAAGGTTTCGTTTGGCGAGACGAAAAATCCAATTTAATATAGGACATCGGAAAAGGAAAGACCAAGCACTGCAAATTTAGGAGGTTTACTACAATGAATTTTTAATCATAATAACAGCAGCCGTCCACTGGGCAAATGTTATTTAAAGTTTATAACCTAGCACAAGCAAAAATTTCAGAAAAGGAAGAACTGGAGAGAAAAATGAAAGACGGGAGATGCGAATGCAGCTGTTACTAGTTAAACCCAATAAATCTGAACACAAAACAGATTCCCCTCGCTTTAACAAATCACTCATGGACTCATAAAGACTGTAATTGTAAGCAGAAGCTATTCCAGCAAACTTTATACGTAAAATTCAACAATCCATCTGACACCAGATATGTACAAGGTGACAGTACAATTCTAACCCTTCTCAAAATTAGATTATGAAAATAATACAGTGAACTCTTCTGAAATCCTCAAAAGAGCAAAACTAGACAGTAGACAACTTAAACCTTTGGAGAACAATTGTATAACATATAAAGTTCTGGAGACTAGTTCTCAGAACGTAGCTAAATTCTAAGCTGCACAGTGCCAAGCGTGGGAATCAACATTACAACAGGGCTGCTGCAACTTCCCGAATATAACCCAGCAATCAAGACTCCCAGGTGCATGCTTATACAACCCCATCAAACCATAAGATATTCGCATTAGGCCCTGGTCAAAAGCAAGTAAATCAGGTACACCAAAAGGCAAAACCTTGCAAGCCAAGTACACAGGACTTACCTCATTCACTCCTTTTCGTCATCATCATCTTAAAGTTGAGCTGGTGCACTCCCTCTGATAAAGGTACCACGGCGATCACCCCCAACAATCACATCTTTCAGTCGAGATAGTGGACCAAACATCCTGCCAATCCTCTGTCAACATTGAAAAACAGATCAGCGGGCCAAGAATGCAACTAAACAGAGTAAAGGTAGGAGAGGAATTAGCATTTCTGAGAGCCAAGATGATTGATCTGACGACAAGAAACATAAGCGGAACTAACAACGTATGTGGATGACTTTCAGAGTTTAATATTCTCCTATACCACAATAAGTGAAAGGTTTTGTAACCCTGGGAATCCCAGTTTATCACTTAGCTGTTTGTGTGATTGAAGTCTCTCGAATCTGATTATAAAAGCTACTATTGATTAGACCAAAGAAAGCAGCAAGCGGAAGCTTTAATCCTCCCAGAACAAACAATGGAAATCCCACAAGCAGAATCAACCATAGGACAAGGGGTGAAGATCAATAAAAGTCGAAAGACCTTCTGCAGATTCACTGATTCAGGTTCACTTAATAGCACACATGAATTTCCAGACTCAAGACAGAACCATATTCAGAAACAACATACTGCGAGCTGTGTTAAAGTAATTTTGTCATTCCATATAGGGCATTGGAGTTAGTGAAACTATTATGAATATTTGATCCTTTATTTATTTTTGATTTTTTGGATAACGATGGTGTCCAGGATAGCTTGCGCACACCTCAACTATTCCACGGAGCACCTACTACATCCCGACAATACAGGCACCATGTAGCTTTGCCTACCAAGGCTAAGGCTAAGGCATAGGCAGATAAGAAGAAATCACCTAGCAATTTTTGTCTCCGCTGGAATCAACTATAAGAACTACAAAATAGTTTATTTATTCCGAGCCAGTCAACCAGATTTTTATAGACTACAAGAACCCCTCAATCTCTCTCCCGCGCATGTCCTCTCTCTGTGTGACCAAGCCTTAGCGGCCATTTAACAGCCGGCGACCAGCACAGCCGCCAACGACCACCCGCACCCCAAAGGTAAGTCCCCTCTCCCCTAGTTCTCCCACCCCAAAGGTAAGTCCCCTCTCCCCTAGTTCTCCCACCCCAAATTCCCGCTCACCCCTCCCCACATCCCGCTCAGCCCTTCTTTCTTTTTTTTCTTCTTTCCTTTTTGCCTTCCCGTCATTTTCTTCTTCACTGCCGGCAGGACGCCGGCGACGACTGTCTCCCACCCCAAATCCCCGCTCACCCCTCCCCACATCCCGCTCATCCCTTCTTTCTTTTTTTTTCTTCTTTCCTTTTTGCCTTCCCGTCGTTTTTTTCTTCACTACCGGCAGGACGCCGGCGACGACTGTCACCTTTACTCCTTCTGGCCGTTCTCCCCCATTTCTCCCACCCCACATCCCTGGTCATCCCTCCCCACATCCCGCTCACCCCTTCTCTCCTTTTTTTCTTTTTTTCTTTCTTTCCCGTCATTTTTCGTCTTCACTACGCGGGACGCCGGCGACGACTGTCACCTCTACTCTTTTTGGCCGTTCTCTCTTCCTCTCATACCCTTTCCCAAAGTGCGTGCGTGGGGGTGCGCTTTTTTTTTCTTTTTCAGGTGTGAATCAAGGCAGCCCGACTCCGGCGAGATCCGGACTAGTCGCCGCGTGTGGAACCACCGGACCCGCTTCTTAAGCCGACACGCAGCAGCTCTGGGCAAATATTCGACGACGGTACCGGGTTCAACGTTCTTGTTTGTTTACACTCTGTTTCGTTAGATTTTGTTTAAATTTGTTCTTTGCTCTTAGTGTATTCTCTATTAATTGTTGTGCTTCATCCGTGGTTTATTTGTTTAGATCGTTTGTTTGTTTAGATCATTTGTTTGTTCATTCATTCATTCGTATTGCTTAGTCCTCTTATACTTGCTTTTGGGCCTATTAGCATCGTTTAGGGTTCTTAGTTTTACTTATCTTTCTTACTTTTGTGCCTTTTAGTTTCGGGTTGTACTCTCGAGGTCTTAGTGTGTCTTGATTATAATGGCTATATTGAACGATGATAGGGTAAGATCATATTCTCGGAGGGGTTCTCTGGGGTAGGGGTGGGAGGTAAGGATGGAAGGTAAGGGTGCATCGGCTGCGAGTTGGATCCCGGAACGTAGGGACCTTGACGGGGAAGTTCATAGAGTTAGCGAAGATTCTCCATAAAAGAAAGATCAATATAGCTTGGGAAGGGAGATAAGGCACGGGATATAGACAAGTTTAAACTATGGTACTCTAGACGCATGGGGGGCAAGAACGAGCTAGGCATTTTGGTTGAGAGGGACCTCCGGAGCTAGTGGCGGAGGTTAGGAAGATGAGGGACAAGCTGATGAACATTAAGGTAGTTGTTGGGGGCTTTACTTTAAACGTGATTAATGCGTACGCACCCCAAGTGGGCTTGGCCGAGGAGGTTAAAAGGTGCTTCTGGAAGGACTTGGATGAGGTTGTGCGTGGCATTGTGCGTGGCATACCGCATACGGGTAAGCTTTTCATAGGAGGGGATTTCAGTGGCCACATTGGGGCGGCATCTGGGGTTTATGATAATGTGCATGGAGGCTTTGGTTTTGGAGTTAGGATTTCGCTGCTGCATTTCGCAAAGACGTTTGATTTGGTGATAGCTAACTCTAGTTACCCGAAGGAGGCGCACTTGTTTACTTTCCAGAGTTTGGCAGCTAAGACCCAGATTGACTTTCTACTCTTCAGAAGATTTGATAGAGGTTTGTGCGCGGACTGCAAGGTCATTCCGAGTGAGAACCTCACGATCCAGCATAAGCTCCTAGACTCCGAGTCATGGATTTGGAGATTATAAGGAAGCGAAGAAAGAGGGTTGTGCATGGTCTAGCTAGGATCAAGTGGGGAGCTTTGACTAAAGATAGAGCCCTGGAGTTAGGGGATAAGCTGTTGGCTATGGGGGCATGGAGGAGCTGTGAGGATGCGAGAGGTATGTGGACCGTGATGGCGAATTGCATTAGGGAGGCTGCTACGGAGGTATTGGCCTACCTGTCGGCCGCAAAGGGGATTGGTGGTGGAGCCCCAAGGTCCAAGGTA